ACCAGGGCCACACACCGTTGCCCAAGGCGATACATTCCTAGGACGTGTAAAGACCAGTCTTTCTGACTTTCTTTGGATTATTCGCGTTGGACAACGACTTCAGATGTGCCCGGAAATGAACTCTATTATTCTGCATGCTAGCAAGTCTACGTACTATTGGACTATTCTTCTGTTTCTTGTTAGTCAGACGCTACTATAGATCCCGACCAGAAGAACAAGAACCATAAGCTCCTTTGACCCCTTCGATTGCTTCAATATTTCGGGCTGCGCACCACCTTTCCAGGGCGTCGGTGGCGAGAGTATCGTTGGCAATTGCCGTCCCATATTCAATCGACATGTCCCACCGAAGAACTTCTAGTCCAGGGAAAATATGTGGGTCCGGTTCCAATGCCCGGGCAATCTCCGTCACTTCGGTCGCAATGATAATCAATATTCTTGTCGGTATCACACCCATGAATTGAATCTCGTTTGCATTCAAGTGATCACAATAGATCCAGTCGAGTCGTTGATGAGTATTGCAAAGGGCATTAGGAAGGAGGTGCCAGCCGTCCGGATATCGTTCGTGAAAGGGTTGGCGGTCCAGACTTGGACAAAGATCAATCACCGTCAGCTCACACAATGCAGGAAACAATAAGATGAGGTCAGGTATGTCTAATGGGGTGATAGGGTTACAATTGTTCAGTTGCAACCTTGTCAAAACCGCAGAAGGTTTCCATTGGTCCATTGGTCTCGTAGCAGGGGCTGAGCATCGGATCGCGAGTGATTCTAATTTGGGGAATTTAGATTGAATCCAGTCCACTCGTATGTTTGGCATCAACCAAACGGCGAAATCCAAACTCTTGAGACGGGAAGACGCCGTTTCAGACTTCGAAATGGCCACAAGTATATGCGGCACTGTCCAGTAATTATGAAAAGTGTTGCCTCCTTTGACGATTTCTGGAGAATAAAAGCCTAGACATGCCAGTTTCCCCCTGTTCATTAAGTAGAGTACCGTTTCAACGAGTTCACTCGACACATACGTGGAATTGATCGGGTAGCGATATAGTCCTAGCGAAACAAGGCTAGTACATTCTCTTAGAAATTTCACGTTACATTCCTCCAACACATCCGGTCCGTTGGTGTTCCCCCATAGGTAAAGTGATTGTATATAGCGGACACGAGGGAGGAAATGCTGATTCAATGTCATGTCGAGTCTAGAAACGTCTTTTACATTCACGAGGAGGTTGACATCTTTGTATAAGGCGGGGATGACCACCTTATTGAATGCGTGACAGACGCTAGAGAAGAGCATTCTTAAGTTGATGACACCTTTCAAGGGAGATGACCACGTACAGTCTCATTGATTTTGCGGCAGCGTAAAACTTCGGCGCATTTACGCTTGCCGTTCCTACTTGCTCGTTGAAGCCAGTAGATGGATCCATGAAAAGCCGCGTATCCATTACATTGGGAACGGAAAACGTAGTCGCAATCTTATCGTCGATTCTCGAGTCTTGGGCTAACAACTTGTCGAGCGCGTTTGGTCTCGGCATCTTCCACGCGGCATCGTGACCGATTCTACCAAACTGATCCCCCGATTCATCTACCAATGCCAATTTCACGATCTCAATAAGAAGCTCTAGGGGTAATGACATGGACCCCTTGGTATGAGGTGGTCAACTCAACCGGACGTGGTCGGAAGCACGGAAGGTCGCACAACCTGCCAACCATGGATCCGTTGGCTCAACAAATGCACAATAACTAGCTCATAGGA